AAGGCCCTTTTTGTTCCTAAATCATTAGTTCGCTATATGGACAAGTACTTTGCTATTTGGCAACATGGAAAAGAAAATCTGGAGAATTTTCTTGGTTTGATGATCAGGATCGATTGGAAGACGAAATTCACCATTGAGATAGAAAATGAATTTGTTTACCTTTTAGTGATGTCCTAATTAGCAAAGGGAACGAGATTAGGTTGAGGTGTGTATAGAAAATCCACAAATACAGGTTTCATTTAGAATTTCTTCTCCAGCCACACTTACGGTGTTAACGTATGACTTATGAAGTCTATGATAATTAGGAGCCTGCGTCTGGCAGCTGTTAAACATCGGAACTATGAACTGAGTAGCCTAAGGCGAATTCTGGTTGAGAATAATTATTCAGGAGGGCTGATTGACAACTATTTTAGAATATTGTCAGATAAAATGAAAGGAATACATATTTGGGTAAGATAAAAAGAAAGATCTGTCACCAGGATTCGGAATTGGCTAAACACATGGCTCGCATAGGACACCAGATAGATTCGTCTAATAATTCGTCGCTTAGCCGGATATGGAGACTATACTGGTAAGCGAAACATTATGGAGGTAACATAGTAAGACCGGCAGCCATTTAACTTAACTCATGAGCAAATATAGAGGCAAAGCATACGACATCCTACCAAAACATGAGATGCCTAAGTGGACCAAATTGGAATATATAAGAAGGAAGTAGGTTTAAAGCCGGACACCTTTCTTACTTTCGTGTTTTTGATGAATTATCGTTAACAATAGTGTCCTGCTCTGACGATGCCCGTTACATCACGGACAAAATCTCAGCAGGGATTCATCGGGGTCGCAGGGAGTGCAACGAGGATCTATTCGCACATATCTATAACCCCAACTCCAAGGCAACTCCTCCACAGCCTCCGGTCGAGGCAAATTACGAATCACCTCCACTCGCCTCTTTAAACGAAATGAAAGGTACTCCAACTTCAATCCATTAAGGGATTTTTCGAAACCCAGTTTTTCTAAATTTCAAAATCACTGCTTGGCTGTCTGAAATCTTGCTGCCTAAGAGCCTTGAATTCCCGTCCTCGCCATTACCAATCACATATTTGACTGTAATGCATCGAAAAAACTAGCCTCATATTGGAAAATACCATAAAACGGAGGTGGAGACATCCCTTTCAAAAAAGCCTGATGAACAGAAGATTGGAAGAGGCAACAGTAAGCGATAATTTCGCGTACTGCCTAAGCAGACTTGAGATACAGCGAAGACATCAAAAAGAAGACGCTTGGACACTGTTCAACAACAAAGAGACAATACCAAGAAGCGGCTCATGAGGAACAAAAAGAAGTCAAGAAAAGGCGACTGCAGTGAGAGTAATTGGGCAAAAAAATTTACCCAGAGTGTTCACCTGCAAAATGTAGGATAGGAAATTAAATCATAAAATTATAGGTGGGTCAGATATAGATAACCAGTGTGTTTGTGGGTAATTGTGTTTATTTTTCATATTTGTGTAGGAAGGGCAGGCGACTGGTGACATGCTTGGCCACGATGGATACCAGCCAGCACACACACACACAGGAACATCATCCCAATAGCCTATGATTTGATGAGAAAGCCAACTTCAGACGAGTGTGCTATTCGCGATTGAAAGGGAAAAAAGGGAAGCGGTGCATTCTCACAACAGCGGTTATGACTTAAGCCGTACAGAGCCACAACAGTTGAACAAAAAATTGGCCAAGGGGATTGCTTTTACTTATCACTTTGATAAGTTGTAACTCTGTGCTTACGATCGTGTCTCTCACTGATGATGCAGGCGAAATATCTTGTAATGTACCCATTCAATGGTCCAATGCATGAAATCACGAATAATATGGCAGAGGACACGAAACTAGGTATGCTCCCCAAGGTCGTTCCGAC